GTGTGTTTCTTCATGTCTCTGTTTAGCTCTGTAAGCTGGAGCTGCTCTGCAGACCATATTTAGAGCCTTTAGAAGTGAAGCCTCATTCTTGGTTAAACACACTGTCACATGGCTGCTATTGTCTGTCTGTCTTGGCAACAGCACACACTTGTTAGCAGTGTGTGATGGCATTGTGGCTGAGGCCTCTGGTGCAGCAGTTAGGAGCACAGCTGTTGCTTTTGGTATTCAGTGCCTTTCAGTTAGATGCACAGGCTCCCTGGTGCACCTGCACAAGGAGGACCGTTTACAGCATGAGGAGCTACAGGAGGAAGCAACAAGCGGAAAACTGTAAAAGCTCTGGACATCTGTGAACGCACTGAACTCCTTAATACACCTTCTGAACTCTCCACCTCTCTCATACACACACACTCTCTTGATCTGAATGACATATTAAAAACAGATAACAATTGTCTATTTGCAATTGCATTTCCTCATTGTTGCGCTTCAGCTCGAGAAATTAAAATGTATTTCCCTGTTGTCGAAACAAAACCTTGTATCTCCAAAATGGTAACTTTACAGGAGAAGGAAAAAACATACTCTTCTTTTAATGTAAGTCAATGGAACCAGACTTTTTTTTCCAAGTCATTTTGGGTAATTTCTGTCCTTTCATCATGAAATTAACACACAATGTAAGGGACAGCGGGTACTTTCGAATTATGTTAAAAACTGAAAAATGTCAAAAATGGAGACACAAGGTTTTGTTCCGAGAGCGGTGATTTGCAGTTGCATTGCTGAAATTGGATTGCTGTTTGCAATATCATTTTCACTGTCAATGAGGCACTCCTGTCAATCAAACACTATGGGTGAGACATGTGGAGGACTTGTGTTTTAAGAGGAACAAGTCTAAACTTTGGCTGTTCTGGTACACAGCTAGCCGCTTGTTTGCAATACAGAGGTAGCATTAGCAACTGCTACTACTGACAGTTTAATGCTCACCGACCAAGGCTTGGATAATTCTGTCCAAAGTGATGCCCTGTGTGTCTCTGAGTGATTCTTGACTGACTACGAGAGCTTGCAGCTGCACACGCACCAATGTTAGTGACCAGCTTTGGGCAGAGGCTCGCAGGAAATGACTTCTGACAGAATTATCCTCGGCCTGGTTGGTGAGCATTAGAATGACCGGAGTGCCTTGTTGACAGTGAAAATACTGTTGCGAACAGGGGTGCAAATACATTTTTGGCAGAGCTGGAGCGTGACGGTAAGGAAATTCAATTGCAAACAGGCAATTGTTGTTTGGTTTTTAATGTCAAAATCACTTTGCTTTTCCATGTTAAAGTATTCCAGTCATTATATAGAGAATGCAAATGCCAAATGCACATTTTGCCTTTGAATTTGAATTATGTCTTAAATGATGCACATTCACATGGGAAACGCAATTGTAAGTACACAATTTCATTAGCATTTTCATATTTCAAAAGTCTGCAATATGCTGCCATATATTGCAAAATGTATTGAGATCACAGTGTACATCAATAGAATCACAATATTTTATTTTGTCCGTATCATGCAGCCCTTTTGTGCACTAGTCTTTTTACAGATTTATGCAGAGCCTAATATCACAAATACATTTCTTTTTGCTTTTATGTTCATCAGCTTTTCTCAAATGTATTGCATTTCTCCATCTTTTCTCATTTCTCAGTTTACTCTGTCATTCACCACTACCCCCCTCTCTCTTTCCCATTTTCTCTCCTCTTTTAATCCATTTATCACTCTTGCTCACACTTCTCCATTCATCACTCCATCCTTTGCTCCTATCTGAGGGGGTGTAATTAGCTGCTAGTGTCAGCCACAGTATCTGTCCTCTCTTTCTTCCATTCTATCCTGCTTTTTCATTTTTCTTCTTTTTTTTTTTGAATGCTCCTCCTTTCCCCCTCAAGTAATCATTGAGGGACTAGCGTGTGTCTGACACGGTCGCTGTAGCAACGGCACTGAGGAGCTGGGGGGGAGGGGGAGGGGCCGTGTGTGTGAATGAGTGAGAGAGAAGAGAATGGAGAGAACGGAGGGATGGCAGACTACCCACTGAGAGGAAGAGTGGTGCGGGGGGATGGACACACACACACACAAGAACAAACAGTCTGCCTCTCACACACACAGAAAAAAACTGTTTCTCTCTCTTTCTCTCTCCCTCTCTCTCTCTCACTCTCTCTCTCTCTCTCTCTCTCTCTCTCTCTCTCTCTCATGAATACCTGTCTATGTTGTGTCTCACCCACACACACTGTTACAAATATATGGTCATAACACAGTCTCTTTCACTTTTGTCCCCCCTCACTCTCTCACTGTCCTGCCTCAGTCTATATCTCTGTCTTCCTCTCTCTCGCTTTCTCTTCCCTTTCTCTGCTATGTCTCCCTCTCTCTCTACATCTCTATTTTCTCCTTCTTGCTCTCTCTCTCTCTCTCTCTCTCTCTCTCTCTCTCTCTCTCTCTCTCTCTCTCTCATGAATACCTGTCTATGTTGAGTATTTTAAAGTTGCATCCTCTCATAAACACTGTTAATGTGAGCTGCTTCTTCTTCCAGCTCGTCTTTCAGTGGGGTGTTGAGAGCCGTAACAGAGCCGTTTAATCATTTACACACACTCACTGTAATTCACTGCTTCTGTAAATATTCACTCCAGCACACTGAGCAGCAGCACTGCATTCAGCTGAAAGGAAACCTCACTGCTCACAGTGACACAACTGCCTTTCTGTATGTGTGTGTGTGTGTGTGTGTGTGTGTGTGTGTGTGTGTGTGTGTGTGTGTGCGTGTGTGGCAGCAGCTCCGCAAGCACAGATGGTGATGTGTGGCAGTCTCTGCCTAGTTTATTAATAATGCTGATGAGGTCCGGACTGACAGGCCTGCACTGGACAGAGAGAGAGAAAAAGAAAAGGAAAAAAGGGTGAGAGAGCATGAGAGATGAAGAAACGAGAGAATGAGAAAGAGAGTAAGTGAAAGAGAAAGAGAGAAAGACAGGTGGAAATGAGACAAACATTTGTGAGAAGGAAAAGAAAGAGAATAAGAAAGTGAGAGAGAGAGACTTTAAGAGAGAGGAGGAAGAGGAGGGAGAGAGGAGGAAAGTTGAGAGAGAAAAAAAAAGAACACTGGTTAAAGAGAAAGATATGGGGGGGGAGAGTAAAGGAGAGATCATGAAAGAAAGAGACAGAGAGAGTGAGAAAGAGAAGGAGAAGGAGAGAGTAAATGAGATAAAGAGAGACAGAGAGGTTAAAGAGAGAGATGTGAAAAGAGAGAGAAGGAAGGGAGCAAAGGAGAAAGAGAGATCGAGAGATAGCAAGAGAGTGAGAATGGGAGTTACGGGTGAGAGAGAGAGAGAGTGGTAAAGAAAGAGAGATATTCTAAGCAGCAAAGTCATACACCTCTCTTCTCTGCCTGTTTTCTTTCATTCTTTATGTGTGCTTCCTCTACATTTCTCCACTCTTCTCCTCTGATCCTCAGACATCTCCCAGGGTAAAAGAGTCAAGGGTCAAAGCTGAGTGGGCAGTGCGTCTTGTCTTCTCTGTGACTGCTATGATGGTTCTGTCTGTACTTTAGAACATGTTCTAGGTGAAAAGGCAGTATTACTGTATTAGTGTAACTACTGTAACTTCTATCTAGCAATATATATATATATATATATATATATATATATATATATATATATATATATATATATTCCTTTTTTACATATTTTTTTGTATATTTAAGTACTACACGGGGCTTTGGCTTCACATAAGATTTTCACTCACTTTCACACCTGTGTAAATGTGTAAATGTGATGTGACAATAAGTGTGATTTGATTTGATTTGATTTGATTTGATTTGATTTGATTTGATTTAATACTGATTATTCAAAATCTGCTAGGAAACTGAAGAGTGTGCCCACTCTTAAGACCCTTAAAGATGGGGTTAAAATAATGTCATAATGCAAAGCAAAAATAAGGACCTGGCCTTTAGAGGAAAAGACATTTAAGGATCTCTTCCTTCTCCTGCTGAAGTGTGAGGTGTGTGTGTGTCTGTGTGTGTGTGAACAGAGCTGCTACTGTTAACCTAACACTTCCCTCCAGCTCTTAAATAAAACAAACAGAGGCTTCTCTGAGCTGATGACTGACAGTAAAGAGAGAGAGAGTGGAAAGATCCAGCTTTGTAAATTTCAATTACACTGTAAAAATAGAAAGTAAAGCACAGAGAGCAGCTTCAGCTGAGAGCAATGATGAACCCAGACCTGTACACGCAAGCATCACCTACACACAGTATAATACACTATGTGCATTATTACACTCTCTCTCTCTTTCTCTCTCTCCCTATCCTCCCCTACGTTCTGTTGTAAATCTTTTTTCAGCGTCAGTGATGGAGAACAGGGTTTAGTGCACTCTGCAATTTGAAATGAAGAAGAAGTCACTAAAAATAAAAAAAAAAATCTAAAACTGAAGATAAAATAAACCACAGTCCCTTTTTACTGTTGCTTTATCCTTCAATCTCTCCCTCTGCCCCTTTAGTCTCTCTCTCTCTCTCTTTCCAAATCTTTCTCTTCTCCTACTATCCCTTCCTCTCTCTCTCTCTCTCTCTCATTCTTGCTTTCTCCCTCTTCCTTTTCTCCTTCTTTCTTGCTCTCTCGCTGTCCTATTCCACACCTCTCTTTTTTCTTCCTCTCTTCACTCCTTTCTCTTTCTCCATCTCTCTTCCTCAGTCTCTTGCTCCCTCTTTCCTTTCCCCTCTCTCTTTCCCTCTCTCTCTGTATCTCTCTCCCTCTCTTCTCTCTTCCTTTCCCACCCTCTCCTTCGTTTCTCCTTTCCCTCTCAGCCTCTCTCTCTTGCTTTTTGTCTCTCCTGCCCTCTCCTTAACCTCCCAAATCACCACGGCTCTGCTTGAATTAACCTTCCAGCCTTTCATCCCTGCCAGTCTACACCCACCCACACACACACACACACACACACGCACACACACACACACACCTCCCCAAAAGTTGAAGCAGTTAAAGCAGCACTCTCACCAGACAGATAGTAGAGAGGAGGCTTTAGTCCGAACATGCTGTAGTGAGGGATGCTGAAGTCAGGTGGGCTCAGAGAGAAAAACTGAGAGAACGACGATTCAAGGGATTAAAGAGGGGAATTCCTGCTGCTTCACGGCTGAGAAAAAGCACTCCAAACTGGGTTCCACTGGTCAGAGAAGTCCCTGAGGCTCCGGACAGTCAGAGGTCAGAGAGCTCATCACTGCTGCGGGGCTTTCACTGAAGCTTTCGTCCAGAGGAGGAGCGGGCAGGATGGAGAGAGCTGGGCTCAGAACAAATAGTCCCGTAAACAAGCGTGCAAAATGTGTCATCCCTTCATCCTGAGCAACGACGGGAGAGTCCTTCCTCCTCCGATCACTCGCTCTGGCTCTCTTGTATTCTCTTTTCCTCCTTCCCTCTATCACAGTGTCCCACTGCTGACTGCACAGTTGAACAGGGAGGAGGAGCACACTGAGCTTTCTACTCGGAGAGAGAGAGAGAGAGAGAGAAAGAGAGAGAGAGAGAGAGGATGATAGGGAGAGACAGCAAGGAAGAGAGAAAGAATGTGAGCAGAGAGTAGAGAGTGAGAAAAGAGATAAAAGATGTAGGAGGGGGCAAAGGGGGTGAAAGGGAAAAAGAGAATGAGAGCAAGACATGTAGACTGAGAGAGAGAGAGTGAGAGAGAGACTGACTTCAACGGGGACTTTCAGGGTTAGAGAGAGAGAGAGAGAGAGAGAGAGGGAGAGATGAGAAGAAGTGTGCCCTGCCATCAGTTTTCATGCGTGAGTCATTATGTGTAAATTGGACTGCAGCCTGAGTGACAGCTGATTTGTCAGCCCTAATGAAAGAGAGAGAGGGCAGAGAGTGACGGGGCATCTGTTCCCCACACACACACGCGCACACACACACAGATAAATATTCTCAGACACACACTCTCAACCTCACATGCATTATGCAGCGTGCACACACACACACATGCACATATAGGCATACATAGTCGTTTCATTGTTTATAGTTAAGAGGGAGGAAGACCGACAGATCACAGGAGTGTCAGAATAAAGAAGCTCTCTGCAGCCCGCTGTCAGCCAGCTGAGAGGGGCACATTCATACACACACACACAAGGATTCCTCTCACACACTGTCTGAATAAACCCCACAGAGCTTTATTTATCCTCCAGCTGAAGAATCATTTCAGTTTACATCTCCACAATGGAGCAGAAGTGAACTCGGGCCATTCTGGTTTCATTCATGTGTTCACTCATTAACCCTTAAGCTGAGATCACACTGGGCTCTCCCTGAGCTGTTTTCTTCCTCACATGTGGAGCAAAATGAATTAAGCATAGGCCGACTTGATGCGATGGGTTTTGGAAGGAACAGCTAATGCTAGCTAGTTAACTAGTTCTGTTCTTTTTGCGACTGTGAAGGTCACACTTCTGAAGGTAAAGTTTCTGGATCCTTTCGCATTTAAGAGAGTCGGCTTTTTCACCAGGCAAATTTTACTTGTGTTTGGTATGACTGCTGTTGAGAAGTCTAAATTTTTCATTGTCTTTTTGCTAAACATTCAACTTATAGTACATAATTATTGACACTTAACTGTACAGTTACATCATTTTTTACATTTACAATGCAACATACATACATACATACATCATCTAAACTGCTTATCCTTCTGGGTCGCGGTGGGGTGCTGGAGCCTATCCCAGCTGTCATTGGGCGGAAGGCAGGAAACACCCTGGACAGGTCGCCAGTCTATCGCAGGGCCAATGCAACATTGTTGGTTTAAATTTGCATATGATTTGCATGCTGTATGCACAGGTTAGATCACTTCGTGCTGTTTTTCTGTTTGTTTCAATATCAAAAAGTGATGAAAACATGGCACAAATGCAGAGGATATTTTATCTTTCTGCACATTAAGACTGTATGCACAACAATTACTTTTCATCATATCTTTGCTGTCCAAAGAAAAATAAGTATCTCCAAAATAGTAACTTTACAGGAAAGGGCAAAAACACTCTTACCTTTCAATGTAAGTTAACGTAAAGAGATTTTGATCCAAGTGATTTTAGATCATTTGACATTTTAGATCATGACATTTGCACACAATGTAAAAAACAGCTGGTGTGTTGAAATGATGTAAAAAAATAAAAATCGTCAAAAGTGGAGATACATGGATTTCTTTGGACAACGACGACATTGTAATTACAATTTTAAAAAATCTTAAATTGTGTCATCGATTGACAGCACTTTTGCAAAGATTTCTCAGCTTGTTTCAATAAGCCACAAATAAGAAATGATTAAACAAAAGAAGAGACTTTCTGATGCCATATACACCATGAAGGACCTCAAAATCCTGAAAAGGCCCTACTGAAACCACCTGAGACACACACCCACTCATGATTTCTGACCCATGGATGACCCTACAGTGCCTTATCCTGACCATGCAAGGGGTCAAAAATGTTATGACAGCACCATGGCAAAAAGTTTGTGTGAATAAGCAATAAGCAATTGAAAGCATTAGTCTACTCATATCATGTTCAACACAGCATGCAAGAATCTGCAGGAGACACAATTAGATTGAAGCGGTCATGAGATTCTTCCCCTACCCTCATTCTGTCACTCCCTCTCCCTCATTCTCTCTCTCCCTCTCTCTCTCTCTCTCTCTCCCTCTGACCGATTCCATTCTCTTATGCATTCTAAGCCATCATAAGCCAGTCACACGAGAGCAGAAGAGCTCTCTGATTCGTCAGGCTTTGCCCATCTGACACAGACCATTAGCATTCTTATCCATCACTTAGAGTTTAGTCACCATCACCAATCATGTCATGTGTGTATGCATGTGTGTGTGAGAGACTTATCTGATCCATCATTTATTGTTTGGCCACCAGCAGCAGTACGTGCTATCAGCTAGGGGGAATATGGCCGAAGTGGGACACAATCGGAAAATTGTACTTTCTTTGTTAATTATGTGATAGAATCTAACATGATACCCTTTTAAAAAGCTTAAAATCTCCCTCAAACTACTCAAAAATAAACAAATACAGAACACAGGCATGATGACCCTTCTTAGAACCTCTGCTGACCAAACCCTAAACTTTTCATGTGATCCTACTAAAGAGGGACACTTCATTTCTCTACTGTCAAAAACTGGACTGGAGGGTGATACTTTGATGAACATCTTTCTTTTTTAGTTTTGCATGAAAAGTTTATTTATGACTGATATCTGGTTTTCTGAGAAAGACGTTTTCAAACCAAAACTGTCCAGCTAGCTTCACGTTTTTTAAAAAGCCAAGCTGTTTAAAAAAATTGTTCAAATTGTTTTATGATTGTTTTGAGATCAGATTTTGGCCTAAAGCTTTTGTTTCCCAGTTTATTCATGGCAGAGAGGTACATGCAGGGAGTTACAAGTCAATTTTTTTTTTTACAATTTAATACTATTTTACCATTTTTGATTTTACATATAAATGCTCAGAAGACATGTGTAGGTTCACTGGTCATTTGTGAAAATGCTTATATTTGTGCTATGAACATAAAACTGCTGTTTCCTATCACCACCACTGTAAAGTAAGTTGGTAAGTTTCTCCAAACTGAGCCATTAAACCACTCTTAATGACTTTGTTTACATCTGATTGAATTATCCAGAAATTTTGAAAATGTGTGGAATTTTCATTTAACATGATCTGCTGTGTCATTTCCCTTAGCATTCATTTTCATGATCCTGGTTTTGAAATGGAGTTTGTCACATGCTCAGAAGTGACATCACACACGTAGAACCCCAAACATTTTCCACAGGATGAGCTGAGTAATGATTTTTGATCACTGAAGTATAAATGCATGGAGATATAGAGAATCAAGCTGAAGAGTCCCACTTTACTCTTTGTCCTAGTTTACCAGTATTCACCAACTTATTGACTGACTGAATGACTGGCTGGCTGCACATTCACTGTAGAAAATCAAACATCTTTAGTGCACTTAAGTGAAGAACACTAACTCTTTTTTAGGCACCTGTGTGTGTGAGTTGTATGTGACAGCACCAATATGTCAGAATACAATACAGTATTCCGAACTGCTGCATTATTGAGGAAACATGGTGGTACTGAAACTAATGGGCCTGTTGCTTGGCCTATTGGGGCAATAGTTTTTACACACACACACACACACACACACACACACACACACACACACACACACACACACCATGCACACACACACAAAACACTGTCTGATATATCATTTAGAGAACACTTAGTGGTTTGCTATGAGAGAGTGTTACATGAACGTGAGGGATCTGCATGTTTTATTCATGCTGTCTTTGTTGAGTGTAGAGTCTCTGTCACACAGCCTTTGCTGCTTAAGTCCTGTAGCAGAGACCACTTCACTGCTAAACACGCACCTTCACCCAACATCTAGCATGTACATCCCTCTCCTGTAGCATGACTCAATTTGTGTAAATGTTTCATATAGTACTTCTGTCGTGATCATTTACTTGCTGTACTCTGAAAAAAGTGTTGCTCTGAGTTTATGCATACATCAGGATCAGGGACAGATCATGGTCTTAGAAGTGTCTCACAATAATGCAAAAATAATGAAAAAAATAGACCTAAAACTTTAATAAACAGCTGATGTTGGTTTATATTTGAAGAGAGCTGGGCAATAAATTAGTTAATAACCAAAGTCATTATTTCTCAATAGCCCATTTCAGCACATTTTTTGTGTTAGGGTTTTTTGATTATTTAAAATATGGTGGCAGTGTATGGGCTGAGGTGCCTTTATTTTTATTACATAGTTATTACATGTTGAAGAGCTATTCATTCATCTAATTGTTGCATCTGTGGTGGACTCTCTTCAGTCTTTGAGCTAACTCCTGCCTTTGAGGCTCCCTCTGGCCTCTGAGGGCCTTGAAGGGCCCTGCGCAGTCAGAGACCCTTGGGCACTGGCCACATTAGCCTGGTCAGTTATGCATCCCTAATCAAGAGTCAGAGATCACAGGAGTCATGTAAACATCTGTAAGAAACTGAATGTTAGACTGATCTCATCATTGCCATAATGGATTAGAGCAGAGGTCTGCAAATCTAGGCCTTGTATCCAATTTCTGGGCCATATTTTGTAATTACTGACAGTTCATTGAACTATTAATGTAACTGACTGGCCACCCAGTCATACCGACTAGTGATTACAAAATCCGTAACCAAAAACTGGATTCATAGTCTGGAAGGTCTTTTTAGACTTCTGTATTAACATACAAAACTACATACATACATACATACATAACACAGGTACATTCTCTAATACATAATGATATCTGGGTGGTTTCTAACTTTTAACTCTTTGTTTTCTTTGGCAAAATTGTGTTGGAAATTATATAAACATTTGAAACAAGACTATTAAAATTGCGTACACTGGTATTGTAAAATGTTGGCATCACTTTTAGCTCCATGTCCATATTTCCTCTCTCTCTCTCTCTCTCTCTCTCTCTCTCTCTCTCTCTCTGTCTCTCCCTCTCTCTCTCTTTCTCTCTCTCTCAGCGGAAGT